TAGAAAGGAATCTGTGGGCACGCGTGCCGTCGCCCCAGTCCTAGGCCTTCAGCTGGGTTTTATAAAACCTTTTCGCTTGAGGCTTCTGCTGCTGTGTGCAAAAAAAAAAGGCTCAATCAATCAATCCATCAATTTCAACTTCTCGCGGGGAAAAAAAAAGATCTTGCAAAGTTGGAACTGATTGATTGAACTTTTTAGTCCCACCCAGTCTGCTGTTGCCACCGCAGCCACGCCCACCCAATGGGCCACGCCCATCCAATGGGCCACACCCACCCGGCACCCGATGATGCATAAGTGGGTTTTGGGTTGCAGTTTTGACACTCGGGTCTCTAAAAGGTTCGCCATCACTGCTCTAGGACATTCAGGTGGTCCTCGACTTATAAAAGTTCATTTACTGCCCGTTCAAAGTTACGACGGCATGGGAAAAAAGTGACTTATGACCATTTGTCACGTGACTGCTGCAGCATCCTCAGGACCACGTGATCAAAATTCAGAAGACTACCTGTATTTAAAAACAAGTTTTTTTAAAAAAAAATGGGGAAAAAAAAGAAATACACCAGCTCTTCGAGGTAGCCAAGGCAAGAAGCAGACATGGTAAGTGTTGCAGGAATGCTTTTTATTGTAGCAAGCTAAAACAAGAAATTCTGTCCCACTTTATACTAAGCAAAATCAAAATGGGGCTAGTTTGAGTTTCTTTCTCACCCTTTTTTCTCCGGGGATGTTGTCCTCTTTTCTTAAAATCCCATCTGTATTTTTTCACTGACAATAAGAAAAAAGATGGAGGGAAAACAAGAAACCCCAGCTAATCCATTGCATGTAACTCTGGCGATTTTTTTTTTAATTGTTAGAATTAAAAAACTGTTCCAAATTCAAAAAAAAAAAACACTCCATTCTTCATTGCAAAATTCCGGCTCTGCGCCCAAAATGGAAATGCATCCCAAAATTTTTGAACTGCTCTGCTTGTTTCAATGCTAGGAAAAAATCTTATTGATTCTGCACCAGACTTGCCTTTGAAAGCAGATTTATAGGAACCAGCGAGGTAACTAGACTAGGGGTCTTCAAACTTGGCCCTTTTATGAGTTGTGGACTTCAGCTCCCAGAATTCCGGGAGTTGATGTCCACAAGTCATAAAAGGGCCAGGTTTGGAGACCCCTGAACTAGAATTCCCAAGGGCTCCTTTGGAGCACCAATAATAAGGTATCCAACCAGCCAGCAAAATCAAGCAATCCAATTATCTGAAGAGCCATTGACTTCCACTTCAAGAATCCATATCCGGGAGGCAATTTTTTTATTATTATTATTTTTAGCCCTGGGAACCAATTCAGCACTAACACAAACGCATGCCTGGACTTGACAAAATAACACAAACTATAACTGACCAGTCATTCTTGTTACTTAATCAAGGGATATTATTTTAGAAAAACTGCCATAAAACAGAAGGTGATTGCCATTATCCTGATGGGTTAGCCTGATCCAAGTGGAAATACAAGCAGAGGAATCCATATATTTGTCAGCTGCCTCTTATTAAGTCCTTATATTTATGTTCCAGGAGCTCTGGGCAGAAATAGATTAGACTCTCAGCTCTAAAGCCCCTAGAGAAGAAACATTACGCATCGCACACTGAGTCATGAATTTTGATAAACAAACCACAATAGCTGGATTCATGCAACACTTAAACCAGAGGCCCCCAACCTTTTGAGCACCAGGGACTAGCTCCATGGAGAGAGGTTTTTCCATGGACCGGAGGGGGCGTGGTTTATTGTACTGCCAGTATCCCGCTTGTTTGCGCGGACCGGTTGCTGGTATGCCACGGCCCGGAACCGGTCCACAGCCCTGGGGTTGGGGACCCCTGCCTTAAACCACAGCTAAGCATATACATGCACATGCATGCTTAAGTCTTGGTAGTATTAACAGAGCGATAGAATCAAGATCACGTGAAGTGTTAATGCCACTTTACAAGGCCTTGGTAAGGCCACACTTGGAATACGGCATCCAGTTTTGGTCACCGTGATGTAAAAAAGATGCTGAGACTCTAGAAAGCATCCAGAGAAGAGCAACAAAGATGATTAGGGGACTGGAGGCTAAAACACATAAGGAACGGCTGCTGGAATTAGGTAGGTCTAGTTTAATGAAGAGAAGGACGAGGGGGGGGGCATGATAGCAGTCTTCCAGTATCTCAGGGGCTGCCCCAAAGAAGAGGGAGTCAAGCTATTTTCCAAAGCGCCTGAAGGCAGGACAAGAAGCAACGGATGGAAATTAATCAAGGAGAGAAGCAACCTAGAACTAAGGAGAAACTTCTCTGACAGTGAGAACAATTAACCAGTGGAACAACCTGCCTCCAGAAGTTGTAAATGTTCCAATACTGGAAGTTTTTAGGAAGAGACTGGACAGCCATTTGTCTGAAAAGGTATAGGGTTTCCTCCCTGAGCAGGGGGTTGGACTAGATGACCTCCAAGGTCCCTTCCAACATCATCATCATGAATGAGCTTCTGGAGGAAGCACAGAAGATGTACTTGTGGAAAAAATAAATAGGTTTGGTGATTGGCTAAAGTTTCCTCAATGAGAGCTTCAGGCTGATTCAGGGATTTGAACCAGCATCTCCCCAGTCTTAGTTCAACACAACCTTAATGCCCTAGCCTGGATGAGTCTTCCGGTTCATAGCTTTAAAACTTCCTGAGACTCTTGTCTGGAGTCAGAAGAAGCTTCTGAAGAGATAGAGCGCAAGGTAACAATAAAGGATCACAAGATCTGAGAAGTGCCCACCTGGATATAATTACCTGGGATATAATTCCTACAACCCTAATTACTATTCAGATACAGTATACCTGGCTAAACACGTTTTTTTTTCTTTTTTGCACATGGATGGACACACACACCTACTTACCTTTGCAAGCTACTTTGAAAAGTTTGGAAACTGCATTGCTCAGACTGGACAAAACAGCCATTGGGGAACTCAGAGTTCTAAAGAGAACCTAAGGAAAACTAATGCTTTTGATCCTTGGGCTTTTATGCCATTGTAAGCTACCCAGAATCATTCTGGAGAGTGAAGCAGATGGCGCATAAATTTAATAAATAAATAAACGGGAGGGTGACAGTCTGCAATTAGTTTTTTTTTTTGTCCGGCACCATGCACCATTCATTCCTACGCCAGTTTATTTGGAAACAAATCAAATTGCATTCAAGGGCTCCTCCAAGTCAACTCGGCCCGGCAGCCTTTAACAAGCTGGCATTCTTAAAAGACGATTCTCAGAGCTCGTAGCCAGCCCTGCAAATCCTGGCTTGCGGTACCGGAACTGGCAGTCTGATCCAACAAATTCACTAGGAGGGGTAAACAAAAACTGTAAGCGAGAGCTGCAGTGCTAAATTGGAATTTGCAGAAAGACAATTGCCTCAAATGAGATGCCAACCATGGGCGGGAGTTAGAAAGGAAGGATTCAGTCATCAAGACTGCCAGGATGCAGAGCTAGTAAGGGGTCCCCAAATCTACTTCTATTTAAAACTCACAGAGAGAATTCAGATCAGCGGTGGGTTCTCAGCCTAATCTCTTTTACAAAGGCATCGTGAGAGTCATATATACCAAGGGAAGAAAGAGGAAGAACAATACACCCCAATGCATCAATATTTTCATGAGAGAGTCCAGACTTTGCCCGCTATCCTTACTTCACCCAGCAGTCACTCCAATTTGTCCTCTTCTCTCCTCTTTCTTATCTAAGTGAAACCCACCAGGACTTCATCATGGCTTAAACCTCCCAACAGATTCTAGCAACGCTTCAGCTGCTGACTTGTTTTGTGATACAACTAAAGCAGTGGTTCTCAACCTGTGGGTCGGGACCCCATTTGGGGTCAAATGACCATTTCATGGGGGTCGCCAAACAAGGCTGTCCGCCATTTCCCCCCCCCCTTTTCTTTGGCCACGCCCCTGGCACCCGGTGATGTATAAGTGGTTGGGGGTCACCACAACATGGGGAACTGTATTATGGGGTCGCGGCATTAGAAAGGTTGAGAACCACTGAACTAAAGGAATTCAATCCGATAACGCTAGTAATCTGGGGGTGTGGGAGGGGGGATCCCACCCCCACCCTTTCAATTACAGCCTTTTCTCCACCCTTGCTTCAGCTCTCTGGAAAGCACCTGCTTGCCATCTTACCTGCTCTTTCCAGGTCCTAAGCATAAAAAAAATCCCCTGCTTTAAGTAAGCCCTCTTTTAACCCCGGAGAGGGTTGCTGGTTGAAATCTGCTGAGGGGAGGGGAGGGGAAGGGAAGCGGGGCCCCCCCGCAGGTCCAGAGACCAGGCTTGGTGCTCACTGGCCAAGGGCGCTCCAGCCTCACGGAGCCTCCGCCTTGGAGAGCTGCCTTGCCTGAACGGTAAACTGGCAACACGACAAACCAGGTTTTTTTTTTTTTAATTATTTTAAAGTTTCTCCATCGCTAAACGTGGCGTGCCCCCTGCGCCCAGCCGCCTCGGGAATCACAGGACGCCTCGCTTCTTCCCGGCACCGTTTCAGCACCCAGGACCGTCCGCCAGAGATCTGCGCCCCCTCCTCCAGATGTTGATGCCCTTCCAAGCCCCGGCATCTCTTCTGCGAGTTGCCAGCGACGGGGGGGGGCAACATCTGGAGGGCCGCACAGCTTCCCCTCGCCCGGGCTCGGGTGGGCTCCTTCGGCGGCAACCCAAGACGCGCTCTTGAACTGGACGGAGAGAGGGGACGCCGCGCTTCCCGGGCGGGACGGAGTGGAAGGCGCCCGGGAAGCGCCGGCTGGAGAGCTCCGCCGGCTGAGAGCAACGGGAAGGGCGGTCCAGCTCGCCAGGAGGCGCACCCGGGGTCTCCGGGTCGGGGAAGGCGGCCTTCCCGCCAACTCCGACCGGACTCCCCCCGGAGGGAAGGGGCGGCCGGGCGGGCACCCCTGCCGCCCGCCCTCCAGACGCCCCTCCGGGCTCTCCGCCCGAGCGAGCGCCCAGCCCGGCGGGTCCCGCCGACGCGCTCGGAGCTCCGACTCACCCCATCTCCCGGCACTTGTCTCCGGGCGCGAAGCCGGGCGGCGAGAGCGCGCCAGCCGGCAGGGTCTCCTCGGCCCCTCGCTCGTCGCCGGCCAGCGCGGGGCGCGTCCCGACCTCGCACATCCAGCCGTCGGAGGAGCGCGCCCTCTCGCCACGGAGGCGCCCGCCGGCCTGGCTCCAGACTCGGCGCTGCGCTCTGCGCTCTGCGCTGCCCTGGCCCTCGAAGCGCCTCCGGGGAGATCCGCGCGGTCGGGAAGGGCCGGCTGGGCGAAGGAAAGCGGGCGGGCGGGCAGGCAGGCAGCGGCGGCTCCAGCGGCTCGTCCCACCTGCTTCGTCCGCAGCCGCCTCCCACTCGCGGGGCGGAGAGAAGCCGGCAGCACGCGGCGGCGGCGGCGGGCAGGCGGGGCCAGGGGCGGACCGTTCCAAGCCGGGCGCTCCGGCTGCGCGCGATCCTGAGCCGCCGCCGAGGAGCTGCTGGCAAGTTCCCGGCCGTGGTGGTGAGGGGGGGGGGTGAGACGGCGCTGCTGCGTGGGACCGGGAGGCTTCCTTCTCCTCGGCGTTGCGCGCGGGCGGAATCGGAGACGGGTTCCCTTCTGGTGGGCAGGCAAGGCTGCTAGGGGCTAATTACATAAGACTAAATCCGCTTTGGAAGAGAAAAGCTTAAGAGTGAGTGAGGGGTGCCAGCCCCTTCGGTCTTTCTCTGTCCTCCTCTCCTCCCGCGCCTTTTTCCTTTTCTTTCTTTCTTTCTTTCTTTCTTTCTTTCTTTCTTTCTTTCTTTCTTTCTTTCTTTCTTTCTTTCTTTCTTTCTTTCTTTCTTCCTTCCTTCCTTCCTTCCTTCCTTCCTCTTTCTTTTTCTTTCTTCCTTTCTTTTCTTTTTCCTTCCTTCCTTTTTTCCTTCCTTTTCTTTCTTTCTTTCTTTCTTTCTTTCTTTCTTTCTTCCTTCCTTCCTTCCTCTTTCTTTTTCTTTCTTCCTTTCTTTTCTTTTTTCTTCCTTCCTTCCTTCCTTTTTTCCTTCCTTTTCTTTCTTTCTTTCTTTCTTTCTTTCTTTCTTTCTTTCTTTCTTTCTTCCTTCCTTCCTTCCTTCCTTCCTTCCTCTTTCTTTTTCTTTCTTCCTTTCTTTTCTTTTTCTTTTTTCTTCCTTCCTTCCTTTTTCTTTCTTTCTTTCCTTCCTTTTTCTTTCTTTCTTTTTTCCTTCCTCTTTCTTTCCTTCCTTCCTTTTCTTTCTCTTTCTTTCTTTTTTCTTTCTTCCTTCCTCTTTCTTTTCTTCCTTCCTTTTCTTTTTTCTTTCTTCCTTCCTTTCTTTTTTCCTTCCTTCCTTCCTCTTTCTTTCTTTTCTTCCTTTTTCTTTCTTTCCTTCCTTCCTTCCTCTTTCTTTCTTTTTCTTTCCTTCCTCTTTCTTTCTTTCCTTCCTTTTCTTCAAGAGAGTCAATTCTATTGGCTTTCAAAAGCCAATAGAATAAAAGGGAGTAGCACAGCTAAGGAAAAGGGGGGAAAAATGGCGGACTGCATTGTTTGGTGACCCCCATGAAATGGTCGTTCGACCCCAAATGGGGTCCCGACCCACAGGTTGAGAACCACTGCTCTAAGTCAGTCAACCAGCAAATTGTGTGGACCAGGAAAATAGCAGAACAGGGTGGAACTTGTTTAGGCTTGAAATCTAAGCAGAATGAGGCTTGATCGGAATTTGGATGGGAGGATTGTCAGGATGCTGTAGGCTAGACTGGAAAGCCAACAAAAGCCAACAAATCTCAGAATTTGTAAAGCATGTCCATGTTGTTGCCAAGAAAACTGTGCAGACTTGTTGGCAAGGTCAGCAGGAATCCAGCTCGCCTCGAAGGAGACTTTAAAGAGGTGTTTGACAAAAACTTCACCAACCTTTCCTACCCCCCCAAAGAACAATTCTAAACAACAGTCCTTGTACATTCCTGGCACTCCAAAACTTCTCCCACTTCAGAAGTTGGGTGCAGTTACAGCACTGGGTGCCGGAAACCAACTTTCAAAGAGAAACATATTTTTTCAGCAAATCACGTCTTATAAGTAAGATTGCTTTAAATTCAATTTTCGGTAGGAACCCGTTGCAATCAAAAGAGTCTCTCATGGTGACACACAGAGGGAAAACACAAACCAAATCAATACCAAATCACGTTGCAGGGAACGATAAACCAAGCTGTGGTTAAAGGCAGCAACTGTGCCCAAGGAAAATCTAGAAATACCCCAGCCATATAAAGCTGTTTCAAATTTGACATCTCAGAAGAAAAAAGTGTGAGACAAAATGAACATTTGAATTGAACATGTATTAGCATAGCAAACTCCAGACAACGTTGATAGGAAAAATTAACATATGTTGATGAAAAAAAAATTAATAAATTTTTTTATAAAAAAACAAAATGATTTCTGCCTAAGAGGAAACTATCATCTACTGGGCCAAAATGCATTAGGCTAAATCAGGATTTCTCAACCTCAGCAATTTTAACAGATGTGGACCCCAGAGCCCAGAATTCCCTAGCCAGCATACTTAAACCACACGGTGATTTAAGTATAATGCAAAGACCACCACGGTAAAAATATAAGAACGAGTTTAACGAAGAGAAGGACGAGGGGAGACATGATAGCAGTCTTCCAATATCTCAGGGGCTGTCCCAAAGAAGAGGGAGTCAAGCTATTCTCCAAGGTGCCTGAAGGCAGGATGAGAAGCAACAGATGGAAACTGACCAAGGAGAGAAGCAACCTAGAACTAAGGAGAAACTTCCTGACAGTTAGAACAATTAACCATGGAGCAACCTGCCTCCAGAAGCGGTGAATGCTCCAACACTGGAAGTTTTTAAGAAGAGACTGGACAACCATTTGTCTGAAATTGTGTAGGGTTTCCTGCCTGAGCAGGGGGTTGGACTCGATGACCTCTAAGGTCCCTTCCAACTTTTATTATTATAACAAGTTTGCTTTAAAAGCCCACGACCTTTATATCTGAGATTAATTTACGCAGGGCCTCAAGTGGCAATTTCAGAGTACAGAAAGAGTCATTAGGACTGAATTTTTGAAGAACGCCGGCTAGGGCACACCTGGTAGAAGAGACTCTAGTTCAGAAAAACCTCAAATTTCAAATCCTTAACGAATTTCCAAGATATTCTTCTCTTTTGCCGTGGCAAAGACTGAGTTCATGCATGATGCTAAGTCACGATTCAGTTTGTCCGCTTTTGGGATGACGTGCAACCTGAAGCCAACCAATGAAATATTCAGTTTAGGGTTGGAAGAATTACAGGCAGTCCTCGACTTAACAACAGTTCATTTTGTGACCATTCAAAGTTACAACGGCACCGAAAAAAAAGTGAGTGATGACCATTTCTCACACCTGCAACGGTTGTGGCATCTCCATGGTCCTGTGGCCCAAATTTGGCCACTGGGCAACTGACTCATATTTTTGACCGTCGCAGTGTCCCCGGGATCGTGTGACACCCTTTTGTGACCTTCTGACAAGCAAAGTCAATGGAGGGAAGCCAGATGCAACTTAACAACCTGTGTCGGGCCGCCTACCCTGAATGCAGCAGCAGACATCCGCCCGGAACAACTTATAGCCGGCCCGCCATGTAAACGGACAGCCGAGCGCGCCGGGGAAGCCAACAATCTGTCTTACGGAGTGACAGCCGGCCGGTGGGTGCACATGCGCAGACGCCAGGGACTGTTGGAGATCAACGGGGCATGCGCGGCTGGAGGAGACCGCGGACGCATTACCAGACATTGTTAGGAACTACTGAAGAGTCGCGAATCGTCGGGAAACGGCTGGGGCGTCGGGAAGCGGCCGGGGCGTCGGGAAACGTTTAGGTCAGGATGACGAAGCAACATTTGGGACGTTGGGTGTATGGGCGGTGATAGGGGGTGTGGTTTAGGCGCGGTTTCAGTAATTGTATAAAAAGGGAATGGGTGTATACATCGTCAGTGCTGACTTTATTCCGTTTGTTCGTGCATAATAAACTGGGTGTTCTCCGTTCCTGGCGAGGTGCTTCTTTTATTGGAGTGGGTGCCAAAGACGGGGTGACAGTAAGTTAGGTTCGAAGACTCCACCAGAGCTCAGAGAGCGGAAGCTGAAATAGTGACACTGAGGCAGGGAGGGAGACCGGTGAGGGAATTCATTAAAGAATTTCAGCGGGTGGCGGGTCGGTTGCGGTCCTGGCCAGAGAAATTACTGGTACATTATTTCAGGCAGGGCTTGGATGTAGAACTCCGCCAGGCTTGTTTGGTAAGAGGAGTGCCCTCCCGTTTACCTGAATGGTATAAGACTGTAACCGAACTCCATGCAGGACTACAAGAATTGGCGCCAAGAGCATCCGCCCTACTTCCGGCATCTGTTCCGCAAGCGGCAAATAAACCAAGGGCGTTAGGCGTACCAGTTCAAACAGTTCCACCTGGGGTGTCCAGGGGGACTTTCCGATGTTATAGGTGTAACAAACCGGGTCACAGGGTGGCTCAGTGCCCGATCCCACCTAGACAGGGTTTGAGTTCGGGACAGTCCACCCTGGAGACAAGAAGCCACAGAAACAATCACCCCTTAGGGAAACACAACACATGGAAAGAAGTAAGGTAGCAGTGGAAGCTACCGGGACGGCACGGCTATTCCCTGTGGAGTATGACGATCTAAAGGAGGTATTCAGCGAACGGGAGTGTGATACGTTGCCACCACACCGTTCCACGGACTGTGCAATAGACATCATACCGGGGGCGAAGCTGCCAAAGCCCCGGATGTATCCCATGTCACCTAAGGAGTTGGTGGAACTAAGGAAGTATATTGATACTAACCTGGAACGGGGGTTTATAGAGCCGGCCCGATCGAGAATAGCGGCCCCAGTGATATTCCAAGGGAAAAAGGATGGTGGGTTGCGGTTGTGTGTGGATTTCAGGGGGTTAAATGCGGTGAGCACCGAAAATATGTATCCATTACCCTTGTTAAAGGACATGCTATCTCATTTATCCCAAGGGAGGGTGTTTACTAAGCTTGACTTACGGGAGGCTTATTATCGCATCCGAATAAAGCCGGGGGATGAGTGGAAGACCGCATTCAACTGCCCTTTAGGCTGTTTCCAGTTTACTGTTATGCCATTTGGCCTTAAAGGAGCGCCTGCAGTATTCATGCAGACCATTAACGCGGTATTACATGATCATCTATATCGCGGGGTATTGGTTTATCTGGATGACATTTTAATATATTCTAAAACTATGACAGAACACATACGGTTAGTCAGGGAAGTATTACGCAAACTCCTTAAAGCTCAGTTGTTTGTGAAGCTTTCGAAATGCGAATTCCATAAAACCTGTATTGAATATTTGGGATACAAAATATCAGCTTCGGGTATCGAAATGGATCCAGAAAAGGTGAGGACGGTACTCGAATGGCAGGCCCCTCGGACGAGACGGCAATTGCAGAGCTTCCTGGGGTTCGCAAATTTCTATAGGCAGTTCATC